GAGCTCATTCATAGTATGTTAGAAACTTCCACTTTTTAGTATTCGATGTGATCAGAGTCCTAGAAATATTTGATATCCAATAAATCTTCTCACACATTTGATACCCAACACCCACGAGCTGAAAACCACAAACCAATCTACTCAGTAGTTTGAAGTTGTTAAGAGAAAAATTGTAAACCCCCACATATTTATATTAATATAATGATATAATTGTTTAGTAATTTTAATATATGTAATGACGTAAGAATGAACCACATAGATTATAACAGTAGAAATAAATAATTGGGAGGCAAATTGATTGTTAAGTTTAAGTTTCGAAGGTATTTAAGCTCGAAAGGGGTTGTTAGGTAAGTTCAAAAGATTTTTAGGTCAAAGTAAGATTTTCATTGAATCCGGAAGATAGAGAAACATTGGGAGAGGTAATATGGGGTGTAATAAATTTAGGAAGAATTCCGGAGTTAAAGTACATTGTAGATAGAATTTGGGTAGAAAGAATTTTGACACTGCCTTAGTATTTTGACCATAACTTTTTACCTTGATGTTCGTTTGAACTGAAATTTTTACAGTAGATAATAGACTTCAGGGCTATAAAAGTGCATTTCACGAAAAGTTTTCAAATAAACCTCTAAAGAAGCCAAAACATCACTGAAAGTTTCAGTAAAAACAGAGAGTCTGTTTGAACGTGAAAGTCTGTTCAAATGATAATTCATTCTAGTACTCTTGTCTGATGGAAAAACAAAAAGTACTAGGAGCAAGTGATGTTCGAACGTGAGCAGCGAATTAGAACATCAGATTTACGTCGGTTGCATTTTTTTCTCACCTTATAAATACATAAGGCCGCCTCCATTAACCCTATTTCAACATTTCTAACCCTAGAAAGTATTAGAGAGGAAGAAAGAAGGATAAAAACACAAGATCAAAAAGGATTTTCACATTGAAGTGGATCAAAATCTCAAGCTCTTCACACAAAACTAAAAATAAGGTAGGGGATTCTTCTTAAGTCCTTTCATTGAGACTTAGGGTATAATTATGTATATTTTTAATCTTCTTGATAATTATATAATAGATATACATGAGTTCTTGATTTCTTTATCATTGGAACATAGTCTTGAGCAAAATATATGTTTGGGTTCAAGGAGTATTTGTTCTTGAATTTTTAAAACCCTAACTTTTCCAAAATACATGTTCTATGGTGAAATTTATAGTGATTATTGATTTCTAAACTCTTATGCTTGATTAAATTATGTTTTCATCTAAATGTTTGTTCTTGTTCCAAGAGACTGGAAATTTTGGCAAAACCCTAGAATTTTGAATATCCAAATTATGAAGGTTTTTTTGAGATGATCTCTTGCATAATTTAATTTCCTATTACTGTAGTATATTGAGAATTGAAAATTGTTATACTTGAATTGATAACAGAAATTGTGATTGGTTAAGATTGTGATTGTTGAAAATATTTTGGTTTCATCTCTTGTATGGTTTGTTGTGACGGACTTGAATTGCCTTCGAGAGCTGTCGTAGAGTGTTAGAGGTTAGTCTATCCCAGTGGGGGTGAGATGATTTTCTAACACTTGTAGTGAATTGTTGTTTGTGAGAATAACCACTATTGTTCACGTAATTTCGAGACTGAGGGATAGTATACCTTTAATGGGAAGGATTCGTCAATGCCGGGGGAGACAATATACGCCCTTCCTAAAATGTTTGTGATTATGTGGTTGTGATGGATGAATGAGGTAGAATCATTGTGTAGATTCCTGAGAAGCAACCAACATAAATGACAATGAGGATGAACCAATATATATGAGAATATGGAATGATGTTATTGAGTTATTTATTGATCGTTTTAATCTCTTACAAGTTTATTTATGTCATTAATTTATTGTATTTCATACACTTGAGATCATTACAATTATCTTAGTTTTATTCTCAAAATCTATATATGTTATTTTTCAAAAGAGACTTGCCATCTTTTATTGTTTTTTAAATCTTGTTAGGATTTGAGAGGATTTTTCTCAGAACTTAGTGCTCACCCCCTACAAACAACACTCTTTTTAGATTTTGATTTAGGGGGGGAGCTTAGAGTTGATGAGCAGGTAACTTGGGAAGTTCAACTTGATGGGCATGTGGACCCGAAGGGGAATGTCTAGAACTATTATTTTTATGTCCTAGACTATAAGGTTTATTTTGAGATAATGTTAATGTTAATGTTTTCTTATTCCGCTTCAGGATAATAGTTAATTTTTGGGATGTAAGTGCCGTAGTTGGGTTTATTCTTTTGGATGTAATGGTCATGACTTGGTATATTCTTGTGGATGAAGTTGTAGATATAATGTATGATGAATGAAAATTTCTTTACTTATGGATTTTAGTAGTTGCTCTCATGATGTAAATGATTTAAGATAGTAATGTCATCCAATGTGGATTTTGGGTGTAACGCCCCAAAAACCCCCGTGGGTGACATTACATTCTAAAAACCATTTACCGTATGAGAGCATTAAGTAAAATTCATCACGACGAAAGTTTCATTCATCAACCATTCATATTTTAACAAAATTTGGGCAGAGTCTCCTTTGTACGGGGAGCTCTACCCAAAACACAACCTGTACAATTATATTACAATTGACCACACCGGGTCCACATATGCATAACTATTGACCACACCGGGTCCATTTTTCCATCATAAAATAAACTTGCATTCATCATATGTCATATCCACACTATCATCCCAAATTAATAGGTCTAATCTTGGCCTTTACATCTCCAAAATGTAATAATATAACGCAGCGGAAATAACAGAAATGAACTAGAGTTCAAAAGGATATTCTAAGCATAATCTAGTCTAGAACAAAATAAAAGTGTCGCTCTAAGCGTCCACCTCGGGATCCACATCCCCGTCAAGCGGAGTCTTCCAATGGGTGGGCTCCTCGGCTCCTAACTCCTCCTCAAGTGTGAAATCTGAAAATTTTTATTTGTAGGGGGTGAGCACGAAGCTCTGTAGCAAAATCCTCTCAACTCAAACAAGGTTTGAAAAACATAGCAAACGGTCGGTCTCATTTCACAACTAACATATATATAGGTTTGGAATGAAAACAGTGACATTTTAAAAGAGATCTCAAGTTTAAACAATAGCAATAATCAGTTAAAAGAATAAAGTGAGTTTAGCATCGATAAACAAAATTCTAATTTAAGTTATTTAAGAAGGGCTTCTCCCTAAGCATTGTCCCATACCAATGCGTCGGCAAGAACGACCCAACTCCCGATTCCATGTATTTTTGGTTCATCCCCGTACCATGTATGTTGATTGCTTCTCGTGAATCTACCTAACGATCATGCCTAGTCCACCGATTCCAACCAACAATCACAAATCTCTTTAGGAAGGGCGTGTACCGTCTCCTACGGCATTGACGAAATCCTCCAAGGTGTCTAGTATACTAACCTTTTTCCTCGGTGTATATGTGAACAATAGTGATCGCGAGCACAACAACGATCCACTACGAGCATTAGGCAACCATCTCACCCCCCATTGGGATAGACTAACCTCTAACACTCTACGGCATCTCTCGAAGGTAATCCAAGTCCATCACAACAACCATACAATGAGGAAATCAAGAATATTCACAATTCACAACAATTTCCCAAATATAGTAAAATCCCCAATTTTGTTTTCACATTTGTCATATAATCGAATAATCCAAGAAAATATGCAAGAGATCGTAATCTATATCATTTTGTTATACAATATTCAACACTAAAGTTTTAAAATCAAAGACAAAGAAGAAATTAGGAGAAAATCCCATTTTCTTGAAAACTAGGGCTTTGAAGATAAAAAAAAAAATCAATAGAGCTTTGGTGGTTACCCACCCTTCATATTGTTCAAAACATGACATTTATTACAAATAGAACAAGAATCATGTATTTCATATTATATATATGAGAAGGAGAGTGAAGAAACATATATCTATATACATATATATATCTATAGATATATATCTAGCCTCAATGTGAGAGATTGAGAGAAAATCTCCTACCTTAAATCAAGATTCCAAGCTAAGACCCAAGCTTCAAGACCTTCTTGCTCTCCTTTCTTTTCCTCTTAATCTTCTCCTCCTAGGGTTTCAAAAGATTTGGGTGAGAGGGTAGCAAGAATGGAAGAAAATGGGAGGAGAATGTATTCTTGAAGAATTTGAAGTTTTGATTTCTACAAGGTATAAATCCCTCTTGATTGGTATTTCTATCTTCCTCTCTTCCTCTAAAATGGTTCCTAGGGTTTGGAGGGGTGAAATGAATGCTAAAGGGACGACATTAGGTTTTTATAGGGCAAGAAAATCGAGCAAAACCCGATATTTTCTGTTCAGAAAAAATCGGGTTTCCTTCGTACTGTTCACAGATTTTTGGTGCGACTTCCAGGTCAGTTTTGACCCATTTAGAGGTCGAATTTGAAATTTTTCATGAAATACACTTTTATAGCCCTAGATGTCTACTATTTCCTGTAAAAATTTCAGATCAATTGAAAATCCAAATATAAAGTTATGATCAAAATACTAAGTAGTGTCCATCACCCCTTTTTACCCAATTTCACTCCAATTTGGTTTTACTTCTAAAATACTTCCTAACTTCTAATACATCCCATATTATCTCTCCCAATGTTTTCCGACCTCCCGAATTCAATGGTAATGTTATTTTGATAAAAAAAATTAATATATTTATTTAGTTACCCTTATAAATCTTAAACACATCCAAAAAAAAAAAAATTAAGTTTGACCCAAAAGTCAATCCGTTCGAAACTCAAACTTCATGATTAATATTTCAACAATGATTCTAAGTTTTTATCCTCATTTTATTCATATTTGGAAAACTCTTAAGATATTAGTATTCTTATTTACTTTTAGTACAGGGTCTTACATTGGGGCGTTACAAAAATGGAAAAAACTCTCATAGATTGTCTATTGGAGGACCTGGGTCAGATATGAAGAATTGGCACTAATTTGAATTTTGAAAAGACAGTTCCTATTAAATTTCTTTATGAGGATCTTCAATTCATAAAAGATTTCCTCAGGGATTACAAGGAGAAATGCAACAAGGATAAGGAATTGAAGATCTTAGTGACATCTATTAGAGATGTGGCTTCCAAGGCATTGGTTAACCTCGATTTTTTTATAGTCGTTAGCTTCATGTACGATGATGAAGAAGTCCCTACACCATTCCATGATGTCTTTGGTTATTCCCAAAAGCTGAGAGATATGATACTTGAGATTAAGTCAATTAAGAGAAAAGTGTTGGAGAATTATGACAAGAAGTCTTATGGCACCACAGTACCACAGGCAAGTAGGTGTCAATAATTATCCGCCTAAGAAAAACACCACACAAACATGCTACGACACAACACCGAATATGACACTATCAATTAAGATGAATAATACATAAGTGTAGATAGTACTGGAAACAAATATCATGCTTATTGGCTGCCTAAGAAATGATTTTTTTTTAAAATTTCATTGTGTAGTATTGTATTTATTATTTCTATTGGTGCCCCCTAATTACAAGAAATTCGTCAACATCAAAGGTGCTGGAGGATTATGACAAGTTCTCCGGCCATTCCGCTCAAGCAGTAGAAACGTCTACCACAAGAAACAGGACAATAGTGTCAAGAGAATGCAAAAGCATTGTAGAATAAGAGTCTATGGTGGGCTTTGAAGATGATACAATGGTCATAATTGAGAGGCTTACAGGAGTACAGAGGCAGCTTGATGTCATCCCAATAGTTGGGATGGTTGGACTCAATAAGACAACAATAACGAGAAAAGTATACAATGATCCTCTCATCACATATCACTTCTATATTCGTGAATGGATCTATGTGACATAGGAATACAACATAAGACATTTGTTGCTTGGCCTTCTTAGCTATGTTGTCAAGAGTAAAAATAAAATTCTTTGAATGAGCGAGGAAGAAAAGTTTGGAGTAGAAAAGTTGGGAGAAGAATTGTACAAGTGTTTAAAGGGTATGAGATATTTGATTGTCCTAGATGATATATGGAACTTGTTGGCCTGGAATGCTATAAAATTATATTTGCCTAATGACAACAATAGAAGTAGAATTCTTCTCACAAGTCGGTTAAAAAATGTGGCTTTGGGAACGAGACCTTGTAAGTCTCCACATTGCTTGCGTTTTTTAACTAAAGCTGAAAGTTGGGATCTACTGAAACGAAAGACATTTGGGGAAGATCCATGCCCTCTGAAGTTGAGATATATTGGCAAAAGTTGTGGGACAAATTTGCAAAAAGAGTAAGAGATAATATTGTTGGTGACACTAAAAATTTTATGAACATACTAGAAATGAGCTACTCGAACTTACCTTGTCACTTGCAAATGTGTTTCACTTTTTTTGGAGCTTTTAAGATACACCATGAAATCCTTGTATGGAAGTTAATATGCTTTTGGATTGCTAGAGGATTTATATCATAAATCGGAGCAGAGAGTTTAGAGGATGTAGTAGAGGGATACCTGATGGATTTAATTGACAGAAGTCTAGTAATTCCTGCCAAGAAAAGGTCTGATGGTAAAATCAAAGCATGTTGTATCCACGATACATTGCATGATTTCTGCCTGAGAAAAGCGATGAAACTTCAACTGTCAATTTACTAGCATGGACAAATCACTTCTTCATCAGGTTCTATCTCATAGAATTATCCGTTCTCTCTTTCTCATGATTCCCTTGATATTTTTGGGATGCCCTCTGTCAAACCTAATCATTTTCTTTCCTTGGATAACATTGGTTGGAATGCACATCATATTCTAAATAAAATATCCATTTATAAACATCTTAGGGTGCTTGATTTATGGGACATCACTTTGAAAGAGTTTCTCATGGTTATATCACAATTGGTTCATTTGTGGTACTTGGCACTTCAAGTTTACTTTTTTGAGAGCCTACCATCATTCTTATCCAATCTCCTGAACTTAGAAACTCTTATTCTCCATAAAAGGGAAGGGGGGCAAAGTAACTCTACCTCATCTCTGAAGGATGCAAAAATTGAGGCATCTACGTATTTCATCTCCATTAGAATTTGAAAACCCTTGTTATAATTCGTGGTATTATGTACTTAATGACCTACAAACCATTTCCACCTTATGTCTTTCTAGTTTAAGCAAGGATGTCTTGGAAATGACTCCAAATCTTAGGAAACTTGGGCTTTTTACACCTTTATTAGAGTCTCATAATTTTACTTTTCCAGATCTAGCCCATTTAGTTCACCTCAAGACACTCAAGCATTCCCCAAATGTGTATATATCCCCGCAATCTCCAGAAGCTAACTTTATTAGGTGGCTGTGCAAACTAGAAGGAAATGTCAACCATTGGAATGTTACCCAACTTTGAGGTTCTCAAATTAACATATAATGCCTTCAAAGGACAAGGGTGGGAGACTCCTGATGGCGGGTTTCGTCGACTTAAATTTTTGAAACTTAAATATATGGATCTTGAACAATGGATTGCCTCAAGTAATACATTTCCTCGCCTCCAACGATTAGTGTTGGATGGATGTAGGGGTCTCAAAGAGCTTTCATCTAACTTGTGTAATACACCTACATTATTGATGATTGAGCTATACCAGCCAAGACCCTCTATCGTGGAATCTGCAACGAAAATTAATGAAGAGTGACACAATTTGGGAGATGATGGATTGAAAATATTGATATACCATCAAAATAGAGATTAAAGCCAGAGCGACTGCATTGCATTTGTATATGAATCTTGTTAATTGGATGTTCTAGTAACTAACTTTTTTCTGTTAGTTATGTGGTTAAGCGATCTCTCTCTCTCTCTCTCAGAGTATTATTCTAGTTAATATCTCACGATTGTTTGCCAAATTATAAGCTAATATTGGCTATGGGCAATATTATATGGACCTTATTTAGTGATCTTTATCATTCTACATCATGTCTAATGACAGTGAACCCCACTATTAATTAAGGCATATTATCAATTCAATGGACATAATTTATCAAGTCACCAGATAATGTCACAAAATTAAGTACAAAATTTTTTTCCATTGGCTATTGTTCAAATACTCATCTAAAATGAAAAAATGACGCAACAGTAAACAAGGGGACAAAGAAATTACCGTTCTTTTATATGAGTAATATGCGCACATTCTAAATCCACATAAAAATTGAGAATAACTATAAAGATATGCATTATTGATTGAATAGTTTATAGGACATAATAAGAATGTTAAAAGTCTAATCATTTTAAAAATGGAAGCAAAATTCTTAATAACACCAAATATATCAAAAATAAAAAATTGGAATCTAACTAACATAAAATCATGTGACATATATAGTATAACAGAAAGGGTGAGACTATTCCCACCCCAAAAATATTTATTTTCGTCCCATTTAATTTCTTATTAATAAACTACTAAGCCCACCCTTATATACCTACCTTTTTAGTAACTAAGTCCACCTTATGCTATAGACATCCCTTTAATAAGTAATTTAAAAAACAAGAAATAAAAATTTATCAAAACCTAAAAGAAAACAAGAAAAACAAAATCAAGAAAACAAAAGAAAAGAATCTTTCGTTGGAAAAAAAAAAAAAACAAGCCTTCTAATTCACAAACACTAGTTCATAAACGACACAAGTTTGCCAAACGAAACGAATTTTCTATTGTAAATAGTCTTCATTGCCATTTTAAAACAATTCGAATATATATATATATATATATATATATATATATATATATATATATATATATATATATATATCACACACACACAAACACATAAACCCTAAATCAAATTATTAAACTTGAAAAATATACCAAAATACAATAACAACAATAAAAATTCACACAACACACATAAAATCAACCATAGAGTTAAATTGAGAAGCAATATTAAATTGTATCTGATTAGAGAAATCTATATTGAAAAAATACTTTTATGAGTGTATAAGATGAGATAATGAACGAAATCCTAATTTTGAGAAGATATAAAGTGAACTCACTTATTAAAAGGGTGTGTATAACATGAAGTGTGCTTAGTTATTAATGGGGTAAGTATAGAAGGAGTGACTAAGTAGTTTGATAATAAGAATTAAATGGGGGTGGGAATGGATATTTGTGGGGTGGGATTAGCTCCACCCTAACACAAATTATGATATTGAAATCAGAATTTTCTACGATATATTATTACTTTTTAAATCTTTCCCAAAATGGTAAAAAAAATTGAGGGTCTAACTGATAGAATTTGACCTGAAACTAAAAGAGCTCATGGCAATTTTTTGAGTTTGACATTCTTCCCTCTTTAAAGGAATTTTTCCCTGAAATTACACACAGATGCACATATAACAACATGCATATGCTAAGCCATACAACCCTTTATGACTACAAGAAATGTACCTCCATCCTTGAACAAGAATGGATACGTGGCACGGATAGTGTCCTCACGCTCACATGTCTCCTCCTCCATACCACGGTGTTGCCATCACACCTTCACCAGCTTCATAGTTTTGCCTAGTAAAACATACTCTCAACTATCCATAATACGCACCGGTCCCTCCTTAAAGGTCTCATCCGCATCAACAACCAGCTTATCTCAATTAGCCACATGTGTAGAATCTGGAGTGTACTTCCAAAGCATGGAGACATGGAACACCGCATTAACACTTGATAAGTTTGGCAGTTGGCAGTGTCAACCCTCTCAAGTACCTCGAAGGGCTCGATATACCTGGGCAACAACTTTTTCGGCTTTCCAAACCTGACCACCCCCCTCTTAGGCATAACCTTCAAGAAAATGTAATCTCCAACCTCAAACTCCTAAGGTCTTCATCATCTGTCAACGTAGATCTTCTATATGCTCTAAGCTGTAAGAAGACGCTTTCATATTAGATCCACCTTCTCCGAAGTATCTCTAATCAAATTCAGACCCGTAGAAGGTCTCTCTCCAACCTTCATCCAACAAATCGAAGAACGACATGACCTCCCATAAAGTGCCTCATAAGGTGTCATCTGTATGCTCACTTGGTAATTATTGTTGTAGGTGAATTGCACTAAGGGTAAATGCTCCTCCTAATTACCCTTGAGATCAAGGCACATGCCTAAAGCATGTCCTCTAAAATTTGGATGGTCCTCTCTAACTGATCGTCTGTCTAAGGATGAAAAACTTTGCTCATTATCAATTGTGTCCCCATAGCCCGCTGAAAGCTCTCCCAAAAATAGGCCATTAATCTGGAGTCTCAATCTGATACTACTGGTATGGGCATACCGTGTAACTAGAGTATCTCCCGTATATACAACCTACATAATTCCTCTAGTGTGAAGGTCATCTGCACGACCAA